CTTTTACTAGAAGCTTTTTGTTTATTGTATATTGTGTGTCGTCTTTTACTAGAGGCTTTTTGTTATTGATATTGTGTGTCGTCTTTTACAGGGGCTTTTTGTTTATTGATATTGTGTGTCGTCTTTTACAGAGGCTTTTTGTTTATTGATATTGTGTGTCGTCTTTTACAGGGGCTTTTTGTTATTGATATTGTGTGTCGTCTTTTACAGAGGCTTTTTGTTATTGATATTCTGTGTCATCTTTAACAGATGATTTTTGTTATTGTTATTAAAGGGTTGCGAAAAGACTGCTTTTTCAAACTTACTGTTTTTACCATGTTTATCTGTGAAAAGTCTGTGTGATTTTAAAAAGTATTTTATATCTGGTATTGAAGAAAGTATTAAGTCAGTTTCGTAGTATTTTTCCATGCAATAAGAAATTCTGAATATGAATATCTAGTTTACAAACGTAATAATGTTATGCTTGAGCTAAATCAAAGTACCTTATGTTTTTACAGATTTGCAGCTGCTGTAGTGCTGCATCAAATACTTGAAATTATTTATGCCAGGAAACTTTCATATATCCTGTTATTTAATTTAAAAGTATAATTCTTTATGATATTTTGTTCAAACCTTACGATTTCAAGTTTTTTTTTTCTGTAATCTATTTATTTCGTCTTTTACAGATTCGTTGTTATCGTATTTCCAATAAAGTCCCGCTCTCTTTGCACTATGGGGAATTGCAAGCAGTTGATGGTTGTGGTGTGGATGTTTTCGTTATTGCTTTCTCTTCCAGTAATTGCTAGTAAGGTAATTTGAACGAAGATGAATTAGCTTATCCATTTTTTTTTTACTTAGACTATAGTCAGTGCCTCAGAGATATTTGTACATATTTGCTGGACACATTCTTAGAGCTCCCATATAATACTGAATTGGGTCTGGCATCGACTCTACTGACTGTCATAAGTAGTCTTATTCGATTGTTCTACACTCATGTAGGAATGTGGTTGGCAGAGGAATACGGTGACGAATGTTCATGTTCACCCGAAAGATGTTTAGTCGGATTAAGATCCAGTGATTGTTCTGATAAAAACAGTTGGCCGATGTCCTTGTAATAGTCTTTGTTTTAAGATTGAACAATATAAGCACAGTGTATCGTTGCATTATCATCTTGAAATAATTCGTGTTCATCAAAATGGAAATGCGGCATTGTGACGTGGACATCATCGACAACAGTATTCTGATATTCGCCTACCCTAAAGAAATCAAACGACAGAACCCCTTTTATGGGAACATTTCACGTACCATTACACCACTTTCCACAGTTTTCACTGGCAAAAAAACACAGACAAGGTCTCGTGCGTATGTGTGTTCTTTTTACAAATGCTTACTCTACCCATAGTAAAAGAAAGACAAAAGTTGAAACGCGATTTTTTTTTGCCACATCATGCATTTCCAGAAATTTCTTGCTCACAGATTATGCTCTAATTACCACCAATCCCGTGTTTTCCTACCTGTATCTAAGATAAGTGTTTTTCAGATTGTTTATCAACTGTACAGATTTGAAACAAAATTCGTATTGTTTAGTTGAAAATGTTCAAATTCTAACCACTATTGAAGGAATCGGTCAACTGAGATATAACACTTTATAAAATACTAACGGTTGGTGGCCACAGTGTTTTCTAGTAACTGTTATATTTTCTTTCAATTACTACTGTTTATTGAGGTATGATAACAAAAGTCTTTGAATTTGAGCAGCAGTCAAAGAAATGGTCTTTGCTAATGGCGCTCTTGCTAGACGAGTACCCATTCTAAAGTTCTTTTAAAAGTCGGATAGATTTGTATCCTCATTTTTTGTCTTGCATACTATCATATGATTTATTCTCTATGTTATAGGTATAATCTGTTTTGAAAATGCAACTAAATGTAGCGTTTCACAAATATTTGTATATGTGTGAACAGTGGTGTAGGAAGGAGTTTCAAAGTGGGGGTACTTGGCTAGACATGCAGGTTTTACAATGAGAGATTGAAAATATAAGGAGTTCATAAAAGCAGCTCCTATGATGCCAAAGGCAGCCCAATCTAGGAGGGCATGCCCCCAGAAAGTTGATATAATAATATAATTTACAGTTGCTATATAAGTCAAATATGTAAAAGAAGGGGTGCTACAGCACCCCAGCACTCCCGGTTCCGACGCCTCTGGTGGGGGGTAATAAAATGGCCAGGTAGTATATGATGAGAAGAATTTTTGAGTCAGATCAGTATCATTGGTACACATGTTTTGGAACTCTATGAAAATAATCCAAAAGTGAGTTCAAAATCACAATACAAATCCTTCTGAAGTTTAAAAAAGTATTTATCAAGCATAGCACCGAATCCAACTTGTACTGAATATCATCCTAAAATTTGGGTTCACTCGTCCATTTTCTTTCTTTGAGAATGTTAGTAATATATATGGAGAAGGTAAATCCTACTTTATAGGACAACGTATGTAAGCTACAGATGTAAGCTATGACTTTACAGGGTTCAATGTGAATTCACACCCACTCAACATTGTATCCCTGCCGTCAGCAGACTTTTGGCTGAAGGTGATTGTCACATCTTTTTCAGGAATGAAAGATATTCGCATAGCAATATTGTTAACCAATATAGGTCCAAAGGACACGACATTTTGAAGAAGGAAATCTTCAATATTCTCCATGAAAACAAAAGAAAAATCCGTACAGCAACGCATTTACGATAGCAACGGGATTCAAAATCACACAATAAGCCAACCTGTATAAAACATTACATCCTTAAAGTTAAGACTGTAGTTATTGAAAAAAAAAAAACACGTCTGAATCAAAATATCATTGCATTGAAGCTGAGAACATCTGTAATCGTAAATAATATAAAAACAATGATTTGAAGTTGATGAAGGTTCTATAGCCGAAAATTCATAAGCTTCCAGCTACGTCTCAAAGTCAAAGGCTGCTTTCATGGAAAACAAGTGCCAGAAGAAACAATTCCATTTGACTACAATCTATCAAGACTTCTGATGCAGCTTCAATGGACTTCTGTGCCTCTGACTTTCTTAAACGTAGCCAATCAGAGTGAGCAAGATCCACGATGAAGGGAGTAGTTGTAAGAGCAGCAAAGAATTTGGAACATCATTTCCATAAAATGTGATTAAGCTCAGTATTTTAATATTAGATTCAAGGTAAACTGTTAAAGTACCTTAAAAAATCAGAACCTGCGCACTTTTAAACCTATTTTTAAAATAGTAAATTTACATCATAGTGGCCTGTTCAGTGTAGTGTTTTAAACATTCTAAAGTATACTTTTTACAGAATTAATTTTATATCTATATATTAATTTATCTCTTAACAGAGTTGGTGATTAATTCCAGGTCTTGCATAACGAGGCAATGACAAAAAAGAAACGTAATGATATAAGAATCTTCCCAGGGTTTTTCAATTACTGAGAAACGTTTTACATACAAGAAAAAACTATTACTTTTATGCGAAGAAACTACTAACTATTTTGAAACTGTTTTTTTTTAAGAAATGTTTTTAGGACAATATAATGACTTATATAACATAACACAATTTGTCTATTGATAATATTCGAATAAAACGATTTACTTTCTAAATTAGAAATATCAGGAATCTAAAAAAGTAAAACAATAAAAACATTTATACTTTTCTAACTTATCTTTTTAATTAAATGTGTTATTATTGCTCCAAGTAAGCATTCACACTATTAATTCTCATACATGCTTTTATAGTGAGGTTGGTTCACAAAATTTATTCCTTTACAGTGAGCATTTTAACTATTAACTTTCCTACTATACTATTTATCGTTCTTAACATAGTAATACTTATTTTTGTAAAAATAGTAAAAGCAAATCTTGGGATAAGAAATTGGTTTTATTTTCGACATTTCGTTTCTAAGACTTTTTTCAGGAAGATCGATACTATAACAGTAAACAACTCAAGAAAAAATAATATCTTAATATAAAAACAGACCAGCACATGATGTTGAAAAAGCAGTCGCGTGGGCAGCTAACTCTGACGGCACGTTTTGTTTCGTTATTATTTACTAAGAAGGCATTCATTAAAAACGAAATGTTATTTCTTTGATATAGGAAGAACAAAATAAAAATTACAGATATTAGCCCAGCAAAAGAAAAATAATAAGTTATTGTACTTTCTAAAGGAACGAATAATGAAAGAATTTATTAAATTAGAAAAGAAAGAAAAAAGCTTAAAGTTGAAAGGTTATTAAAAAACAGTAAAACAAAACACCAAACATTCTTGCCCTGTCAACCGTAAGGGCGTTATATTGTGATGGTCAAACCCAATATTCGTTGGTAAATCTTAGACCAGGGGCTGGTGGTGAGTGCTGTTGGCTAGCTGCCTTCAAAATACTTATGACTCCTTCAGAGCTAAAACACATTCTATCCCTAAATGGATACCCTTATAATTTCCTCTTGCTGTTGTAAGAGAAAGTTTAGTATCTTAACTAACAGAAGCAGATTTCAAGCACGATCTCATTATTCTTTACATTAGCCCAAAGTTTTATTCAGAATATGACATATGTTATGCAATCCAACTTAAATTTCCACTTGTTAAAAAACAAGGGGTAAAGTTACGAAAAAAATTATTGGTGAAGTCTGCTTTAAACAACCAATATACATGTCCAAAGCATGTATGTAAAGTTAATTATAGTATTTTGGCACTTGTGTATAAAGTTAAAATCATAAATAATATTCAACGTTAAACTGAAACAAAATTAAAAAAATTTTATTTAGGCCTATCTGTTGCGTCCCAAGCAAGTTGTAAATTAAAATAGTT